ATGGAGCATACACGAGTACAACATGAAGTTCACTCCTCTTGGGTCAGCAAATGGTCATTTGGGTGTGTAGAAATGAACTGCTATGGTTTTGGTCATTGAGAAAATTTTTTGCACAAAGTTTGCACCAAAACTTTTTAAGGTATGAAACTTGAAAAAGTGGCATGATATATGATTCCATGTTGGCTCAAAATAGGTAAAGGATAGCAAGACCACTATGTGACAATGATGTGGTCTCAAAAATTCAAAAACAAAGTCATTTCATGACTTGTAATGGAAGAAATACATATCATGTCCAAAAGTTCACTTTTCAAGCTCATCATGGTTCAAATGATCACATAAACCATCAAACTTCATGGATTTTGAGTTCAATAGGAAGTTAGGGCAATGTTTCACAACTTTCATGTGGCACAAAATTGGATTAGAGGCCTTGAAGTGCATGAAATTGGTCATTAAAGTGAAAGACCTAAAGTGAAGTTTCCAAAAAAACCTTGCCTTGTGAAGACCATAACTTGAGCTCCACATATGAGAATGATGAGTTCTAGGACTTTTTGGAAAGATAAGACAATGAGGAACAACTTTCATGTTTGGTGGAAAATGAGAAAGAGCTTGGTTCTATGTGAAAAATCCCTTAGAAGTGAGTTGACTTTGAGTACCTCTAAAATCTTTTCATCTGATGACACCAACTTGTTGACGCAATAACTTGATATGTACAGACCCAATGGATGAGTTCTTGTACTCAAAACAAGTCTTGAAATATGATGAACAAGTCTCATGTTTGTTGGAAAGTGAGACAAGACTTGTATCATAGTGAAAATTGTCCTTGAAGTTAGGTACCAAAAGAGGGGATTTTACACTGAAATCAACTGAAACCCTAATTTAATAACTTCTTGAACTCTTGAATCTTCTTGATTTGATTTATACATAACATTAGATATGACTCATGATGACTTCCCATGGCTTGCATGACCTAGAACCAAGTCTTGAACTCTCTCAAGTCCACAGTTGGCTTTGGGTTGACCAGATGAAACCCTAACTTCTCATCTATTGACTGAGGCTCTTGCAGATGATTTGAATAACCATACAAACTCCATAAAGAATCCTCAAGATGCACATTGAGCTTTTGAACCATGTCTTATCCAAATAGGTAACCTTATGACCCCCTGATGATCCTTAAGATGGGAGGTGACACCCAAACACAAACCCTCTCCTCTCAAGGAGCTATGAGACTCAACTCTGTTGATGGTGAACTTAATGACTGGCAAGTGATACCCTTGTTTAACTTGAACAAGAAATCTTCCTTGAATGACAAAAACAAACTCTTGATCCCCTATATAGAACCAATGTTATGCAAATGCAAATGCTAAATGATATGAAACATAAGCCAAGCTAAAAGAAAAGGTTGGTCAAATTTTGGGGTGCAACAAAGTGCAGGTGATTAGGATTAACTCTTGGTGCATGAAGAACTGACTTGAAGTATTTCAGTTATTTCTGTCGAGTTGAGGGTTTTGCTCTGATATGTAATATCGGGTTAGGACGTTTGAGTCGAACCATTGTGTTCTTTTGTTGGTGACGTCGTGAAGTTATGAGTTCTTATTTTTAAAACTCTTGAATTACAAATTATGCTGATGATTTTGAATCTTTCCACTGCGTAGTAATTAATTGAAATTATGATGAATAAAACCTGTGTTACGGAGTAAGACGTTATTGTGATTTTATGACGAAATGTGGCACCCTTGCGGTGATATACTCTGATATAATTGTTTATTATCGTGAATGGTTGTGGGGTAGAAGGGTGTTACACCTCTCGCCCTCTCACTTTGGCAAACTTGTCATTCTAGTTCTTATAAAGATTATAGTGGGGTTTGAATGGGGACTTTCTCAAAAGACAACATAGGGTTACCCAACCTCCTTTTGAAGGCCTAGCGGCATAAAATGAAAAGAATACCATAATAATGGAGGGGACTTCTAGCCTTTCGCATACCATTTTGAATGCCCTAATGAAGCCCCAAACTATTAGGGACTAGTTGAGAATGTGCAATATTGAGGACTCTTAGGACCTTTATTGTGAAAGGAGAAAAAGGTAAAATAACTCACATGTCCTTGATAAAGGAAAAGTAGAAGTAGAAATAGGGAGAGGGAAAGTCGAAAGGGACAGCCATGGTAAGCCTTTCTGATGGTGAGCAAACATCCAACATGATCATCTCTTTGTCTTATGAAGTAGAGACGTTTATCTTTGTTCGAAAGGAGAGGATCTTCTCATTAGTGGTATAAGAGGATCCAATATATTTAACCTCTTTAGACATGGCCAAAGGTGAAACCATTATTTATTTGTTTCTACAAATACAAAAGAACAAAAAGAAATCACTAGCACCATCACAATTACTAATATGACTAATAAAGCTCTCAATCTCACAACTTTAGGCCAGCCTATTGCACTGCTAAAAATCTTTCATCTAAAATCCCTAAGCCATATCTGTTACGAAGGGGAAAAGACAGTAGGGATCAATACCTAAAAAAGTTGTAAATAAAGGAGAACTTGGATGAAGCTTGTGTGAGCAAAAAAACTAAAAGAAACTTGCAGAAATTCATGTGAGCAAAATGAGCAAAGAAATAAAAAAAGAAATGGGAAGCATTTATAGAGAAATTGAAGCTACAAGTGCTCAAAAACCATTTAGGCTCCCCCAAAAGCTTTAAAAGAGCTTAACACGCTTCTAACACATGTGAATGCTAAGATTATTTTGCCTTTCAAAAAATTAGTCATAATTGCTTATATTAAATGAAATTGAGTGTTTTCACTTAAGTGATTGATGTTTGACATCCCACCTGACACATTAGTTACTCGGAAGACACTTGGCAAAAGGGGCAATGACTCGCCTTGAACTGAGAGAGTCACTCTCGATTGAGGGACTTTCCACCAGCTAAAGGAGTCACATCTAATTTGGGGATTTGTCTCTAACTACAGGAGTCACCTCCAATTGAAGGACTCACCTCTAATTAAGGAACTCGCCCCTAACTGAGGGATCATCCCCTAACTACAATGTTCAACTGAAGGAATGAATTAACTTAAATCACTTCGCTTTTTACAAGCTCATATACTCGAGGGACCGTGTAGTGATATATTTGCAAAGGTCCACAAATAAGACGACACATGTCTTGGTCATAATGGTTAGCGGGGGTTGTGATTGAAAATCATCGGTGGTGGTGTCATTCCTTTAAAACAAAACAAGAATTTAAAAATCTATTTTTTATTTATTTTGAATTTTATTGAAAAACTCTTTTGAAATAAAGTATAAAAAAACAAATCAACTATATTTTTAGTATTTAATTAAAAAAAAACACAATCACTCCCACATTTAAGTTTTAAAATAGGTATAAACCATTTTAAACAATTTTATAAAAAATTTAAACAAATTTATTTATTATTTTCATATTTATTAACAAACATATAAATCTCTCTCTCTTTTTATAGATCTTGTATGTGGTAGATTTCGTTGCTTTGCTAGTTTATATGTTTTAGGTTCTTAATCTTTATTAATAGTGATTTAATTTCATAAGTATGAGTCTATTTAATATAGCCTTCAAATTATTCGATCTCATGATTATATTGTACAAATTGTAATTGTAGAGTGTATAAAGATTTAACCTAATTACTTCAAAATTCATCAATTTGGATTTAGATATATTAATAGTCACATTTTTCTTAATTCTTAATCATTAGTATTCTATAATTCTAGAGTTACATTACATAATTTTTCCAATCACGAATTTTTTACCATCATATTCAGCCAATAATTGGCATTAGAATTGATTTCCTAATCCATATCTAATAACTTGTTAATGAATATGTTGAATAATAATACAAGGGGCACGTAGGATATAACTCTTATTTTAAAGAAGTAAATTACATATATATTGAAAGAATTGTATGTGTGTGCATTTTATGTTTGTGGAAATATTGTCTAAAGGAATGGAATGGTTATGAAATTGATGTTATTTTAAATTGATAGAACATAACCTAACGAAGCGGAATGTCACATGACAAAATAAAATAGAGCAAAATATTGATTCCACTCCATTATTTAAATATTTTATTAAAAATATTTTATTCCATCACATACATCATAAATTGGATGGAACAAAGAATTGAGAATTTAGTGGAATAAAATGAATAGATTATATCATTTTTCATTCTATTCTACCATTATTTACAAATCTAATCAATATAATCTCATTATTTATTATTCTATTCCGTTCAATTTCGTCTCATTCCAACCATTCAAACATAAATTAAGAAAATATTTTATGATTTGAAGACAAAAATGTATATCTTCTTATATTTTCATATTGCAAAACAACTAAAAAAAATATGAGATGCACTACATATTCTTCACGGGAAAATCAAAGATGATAAATAATTAAAAAGTAATACTTTAATATACGAGTTATGACTTTTTTATATAGAGTCCGAATTATACATGGTAATGTTAATTTGTGCCTTAAAAACACATGTTAATGAATCAGAGATTGAAACTTTATGTAAAAAAATTAAATAAAATTGATTTTTTTTTTTCAATTTAATGAACAATTTTTAAAATAAAATATTTACATTCAACATAAATATTTTATTTATTACTCTTAAGATATGTCCCTATAACATAAATTACTCATAAACTTTTTAGGTTGAAGTTTTAATTGTTACTTATGGAACACATCTCGAGTGGTGTGTTACCATATGTCAGGTCTGTACTATGGTCCGCAGTATCAAAAATCTATTGGGAACGAATTAATATGATTCTAGAATTCCGATACATTTGTTGTATTGTAGTTATCACTTTTGATTCTATCTATCTATAATCACTTCTACACAATCTCTTACTATTATGGGATCCAAAGTGGCCCATTATTATAATAAGCTTTCTTGTAACAATTCAATTGCGTCAATGCAGCCAAATTCTATTGCGAACACATTTTAGGGTTTCCTTTTCCCCTTGTTCGCAATAATGGCCAAGAAAAAGATGAAGACTCCGATTGATCGTGTTCCTAAACATTCTCAACAGCCTAGAAGTTCGCCTCCTAAACGCCGCACTGATTTCTCTTTTTTCAATCGTGCTCCTCCTTCTTTTTCCAACTTTGCTATTGGTATGCTACTTCCGTTCTTCTGAATTTACGGGATTTGCATTTTGATTTCTGTTGAATTTGATTGTTTACTTTGCTGGTTGTGAAATTTGATTGTTTAATTGGTTAGGTTTTGGGGATCATTATGGTTTATCTTTTGATTTTCATTGTTAATTGCTGACTGCCAAGCTTGTAGCATCTGAAAATGTCTTGAATTGTAGATTTTTATATAATTGAATACGTTGGGGAATCAATTGAAATTTACTGATATGTGAGTGAGTGGAAAATTAAAGAGGTGCATTCTGGCATGTATCTTAACACTTAGTGAATCCATTATCATACAGAGAGGTGAAACAATTAATGTCTTGTGAGAAGGACTAGGTTTATGGGTGGTCGCATGTGGGATGTAGAGATGAGTGTGTTTATTGTTCCTTGTAATTCTAGTGAATGATTGGGTTTGTAGGTGATATACAATAGGGGAGGGGGTACAATCTTTGTAATCTTGTTTGAGATAATGGATATATTTGTTGAGGTTTCAGTGGACTTAGACAAGAGGTGCCAAGCCACATTAATATTTGTATAAGCTATTATATACTATATGGTGTGTTCAGGCTTGGTTATCAAATTGTAAATAGGAACTTATTATGAATCTTAAGATACATTGCTATAAAAATCTATCATTTTAAAGTAAAAATAAAAGTGAAATATCAAATTATAATTTGATGCATCATATATGAACCTCAAAATAATTAACATTCAAGTCATATTCTACAAGGTTGACAAATAAAAAATGGTTAGTTACAATAAGTTTAGGTTGTGATTCTAGAATGAACCAAAACTCATCATAGTGAAGTAGGATTCAAAACGAAAGTCATGTCCAAATAGATACACGCTAGAGATTCATGTCTTATAATTTGATTTTGACCTTACTCTATCCTACAAAACCGGCTTGAAAGGCGGAGGATGTCTTTCGCTTATAAACTCATATGAAGACCTTATCTCATCTAATGTGAGATTCTTAACACACCCCATCATGCCTAGAACTTGATATCTCGAGTGTGGTCTAAGTGAATGGTAGCAGGTGACCCAATGGATTTTGAATTGGCTCTGTTTTCATCTTAAAATTTGGGTTGAGCTTAACTCAACTCTATAAAACTGGCTTGTAAGGCAAGGAATGTTCTTATCACATAACTCATTTTCAGGTCTTATCTCATCCAACGTGTGACTCTTATCGATAGGGTTCAGTTTAGTTTCAAATCGATATATGACTCACAATAATCGTAACATACTAATAACCCTCATGTATGTTCTTTCAAAGATCCTTGGGCGCTTGGGTTAATCCTTAGCATGTGTAGGTTTTTGCTAACGTATCATACTTGCATGATGATATAATATTTCAAAATAACACTTGGTTGGATGGTAGTTCTGTAAGCATTTAAACTTTTTAGTTATACATTACTTTTATGGTGTTTCAATGGTTAAGCTATGAAATAACAATTTATTTTCGTGCTTGTTGCTTTTATAAGTTTCGTTGCAATCAAATGAAATCATGGTTTTGTCAGCATGCTAAATAGTTTGGTGCATTATCATAATATAATCATTTTTTGGCAATTGATTCTAATGCTCCAGCCATCTGTTTTGCATACTTGTGTTGGAGGAAAAGTAGAATGGTATTTGTATCGTAGACAAATAATGAACACTCTTTGAGTTGAATATTAGATTTTGTATTTTTAAACTGTATTGTATCCAAACTCACATGATAAACTTTTAAAACTAAGTGTCTACATTAAGATAAAATGCTTTTAATAAATATGTCAAAACTCACATGCCTCAACTTTTAAAGTTGTGTCTCCTCAAGCTAAAATTTTCTTATATACATTGGCAAATTTTTAAAGGATTCAATGGAGTTGTTGTTGTTAGTTGGATCCATGAGATTCTATCAGAGCTAACTGTATAGATGCGGTAATCTAACATTATGTTGCTGGTGTTGCCAAACATGGAGTTTTGGTCTATTTCTTCAAACATTTACTCTATGTAACAATATAATTTGAATTAAATTACCTGTTCCATTGGGTTTTAAGGATCAATCCATCATAAGTAAAGTTTGATAAAACTTCTTGAAAGATGTGACTGATCGATTATTTGGCCAATCCTTCCAAACAGATTCCTCGCCTGGTTCATCTTCTAACGAAATGAGATTGTCCAATGTCACTGCAAGCAGTTCGCTAGAGAGAAGAATGATGGTTAAACAATTTTATAAAGAGGCCCTGGTTCGATGCAGCAAGTACCAAGAGGGTAGACCCGTCTGTTCATCCGAGTCTTTTGATATTTCAGTAGCAGAATTGGATTCAGTTGATCTTTGCGGCAATAGGTTTGCTTTTTACTGGACTGGCGGCATGCCGGTACAATTAAGTGATTTTGATGCCTTTCAGTTTTTATGTTTCTAAGTAGACTGAAACTTATGTTTCTTTATAGGGATGCTTGTATTAAGATGCCAGAATCTACACCTCGTGAATCATCTGTCAGTGATAATAGTTCTCCTGCTGTAACCCCTGGAAATGTCGTATGGGCGAGAACAACTTGTAAAATGTGGTGGCCTGCTGAGGTATTCACTTGATATCTTGTAATGTTTGTGGCTTTCTGCCTAAATCAATGTGCTTGTGCATAGGCGTAAATGAAGTTAATTGGACAAAAGGGATTCATATTTAGAGAGCCCGCCCTATCTTTCTGGCATCCTTAGAGGATCTTTTGCATACAGTTAACTTACAATCCAATTTGTCTAGTGGAAAATACACAAATTAAAAAATACACAAGTGTTTCACCCAAAAAATACACAAACATCTGGAAGTAAATTTTCTAATCAATGGAATAGGATCAATATCAGTTTAGTCTGCATGATACTTTCCTTTTCCTTTTTTAATTATAGTTAACTGAGTAGCATTATGTTAATTTAATAGTTTGTGATATGAATACAAAAGCATAATCTTTGTTGTCCTGGCTATCAATTGTGGCGAACATCTCTTCATTTATCTACTCACTAGTTCTAACCTGCTCTTTTCTTTGTGAGATTTGTGAGATAATATTTTTTCAAGCGATCTCTAGAAGTTAACTTAATCTTTTAAAATCCATTTTCGCCCACTGATAATTTTTAATCCTTTAATTTATTAGAGATTGAACTTTTGTTCCAGATTCATTTACTGCAAAATTGTGCTGTTGATTACTTCTGTACCCTAGAGTATTAGAAATAGAAACTATTGGTGCATATTGCCTTACTTTTGATGTCGCATTGAGGGAAATATTACTCCTTCAGATTTTTCTCAGACTCTAGTTGATAAAATGGACCGGCATATGACTTTGGTGTGGAGCTGATTCAGAGCATCACTACTTTGTTTGAATTTTATAACCCTTTCATCTATTACTATTTTAAAAAATTAACTTTTCCAGGTCATGGAAGAAAGATGTGCATTATCTGACTGTGTTAGTGATGGACATGTTTTAGTGCAGTTTTATGGAAATCATCCCAGGTATTTTGGCATATATTTCACACAAGAGTTTCTTGAATTTACCCATCTGCCTACTGATTGTATTGAATATAATTATTTGTTCATTTACAGTGCTTGGATTGATCCAGCTACAGATATTTCAATTTTTGAGGATGTGAGTTTAATCCTTGTCATTCACTAAGCTTTTGCACGTGCAACTATTGGGTGTTTAGAAGTCACTATCTCAAAGTTATATTTTGATAGTGTTTAAGATCTAAATAAAACCACACTGGTCTAAATTGTAGATAGACTCATGGTTTTAAATCGCGGTTCGCAACAGCAATTGCGGTCGTAATATTACTGATGCGGTAGCCTCTGCAACTGCATCGGGCCGCAATCGTTGCGTGATTTTACATCACGTGTGCGACTGCATAAGATACCACATTAGATAATTTTGGCCATGTTTGTTCGATGCAATGAAAAATCTTATTTTTTTTACTGTTTTTCAACTGTGTATTTCAAGCATCTCCCAATCAGTATTCATGCTGCAACAACCGCAATGCGCGTTGCGGCAACCCCGTTGCAACATCTACGACTGCAATTTAAAATCATGGATAGAATCCCTCATCCTCACACATTTTTAGTGAACATTAAAATAGTGTTTTGCAGTGTATTTCTGCCATTGTAAATTATTCTAACCCACTTTTTCTTTTCTTTTCAATTCCCCTTTTCTTTTTTGTTGAGACATGGGTTGTTGCATAGTTTGGAGGTTCTTTTCTCCCCACCATTTCTATTATAGCAGTAAATTCAGATATTGTTAAGGAGAGTTCTATGGCTGTTTTGTTAAACTATATGTTGTCATTATCTCATTGCCATGGGTGATTCTTATTGCAGTCTTTTGAAGAAAGGAGCAATAACCCTTCAAATGATTTTCAAGTTGCTCTAAAGCAAGTATGTTGAGCATGTTTTGGCTGCAATAAATTTTAGCATTTAAGTTGTCCGCCTCTCTAATTTTCCATCCTCCTTCCATGTTTAAAATTTTTGTTTTTCTTATTTGATATGATACCAGGCCTTGCAAAGGAAGACACAACTAAGCTCTTGCCAAAATTTGAGTCCTGATAGGTCTGCTCACTCTACTCAGAATGATCGTTCAGCTGGTATGATCCTTATTTTTATTTTTATTCAGACCCATGTTTTGCACAGTAAAGTGGTTTAGAGCAGGAAGTCCATTCCCGAGTCTTGTGGGTGCATAAACACGTAGAATCAGTTTTATGCATCATAAAACTCTGTTGAATGTTGAATGTTGAATGTTTGGTTTCTTTCATTGAAATAAATTGTAGATCTAAAAATGTTTCAACTCTCTGCCAAATGACAGTGATATGATATATGATAGTTACACGTTTTATGTTTCAAATACTTCTAGCCAAACAAAATGGGTTTTCAGATCACTTCCTTCAAAAAAAGTCTCACATGGGTCGTGTTGTCTGTTATCCTTGGATCATTTCATTTGTCCGTGCATGCTTTGGACACTTGTTAGCCTCAATTACAGAACATTTTAGGACTCTTGTCCCAAAAGCATACACACACACCCCTCACTGAATAATTCATAGACCCTCCTAAATGAATTTACTTTTTCTGTTTAGACATTTGCTTCTTTTAATACGGATCTATGGTTTGAGCAGGTAAATATACATCGCCTAGCTCAAGCAGAACTATCAACGAATTTCAAGAGAGACGGAGGGGAAAAAGAGAACGTAAACCCAAACTTCATTTTGATGTGAGTTGCTAACTCATTACTAATGGCATAGTCATTATAATAACTTGTTTCTCATGTACACAATGAATAATCTCTATTCCAGGAGGTGACATATCCAATAAAATCAGAAAAGAAGGACCGTCGGTTAAAGATAATGCGGTACCTCGGGCTTGCACCTCCAGTTGGTTCTCCTTTTTGAACATGCTTACGATGAAGTAATGAATATTTCAAAAAGAGTGCTATCAGCACACTCTTCTCAACACACATTAGTTGAATTTCGAACGCATCTTAGTAAATCACGCAGGTTCCACGCAATTCAGACAAGTGTGTTGCTAGCGTACATATTCATATTTCAAATATTGTCCGGCCTAACAGCTCGAGTTTGTTCTTTTTTCTTTAACCGTAATAATCTTGCGCTCATAGTTCAAATTTGCTTCTACTTCTTGCCATAAGCCTAGTAACAATACTTTTCCAGGATTATCTAGTCTCATAGTTTCATTATTATCTGTAAAAATCATATAATTCAAATGACAATATGAAGGAATGTAATCAGCTATCCACTTTTCCTATAAAAGTTGCATTTGTCACATGTTTGGATCATTTTTTTGTTTAAAAACTTCAGGATCATGAAGACAATATCTCAAAATAAGTTGATCTACAGAGGCTCTTGTATTGCCAAATAATCTGGACACTTTGTTTAATAATGCTTGATCTGCTTATTATTTTAAAGCAGTTAGAGTCCTTCTGAGTATTTTCCTGAAATGTAGAAATCAAATGTAATGTTTTGCTGAGATATTCAGACTATTAACATAACACATTAATACTTTACATTTGCTTACTAAAAAAGATGTTTCACCAAAAAGTGAATTCATGAAAACATTATCTATCAATGATAAAATGAGCATGTCTCCTCAATAACTTAAATCTGTATTATTGGAGTTTCACACCAGTCATTGTTTTCAATTATTTTCCAAATATTTAGTCCCATATGTGTGTCTTGTTCAATTTTGGAGAGTTGCAATAAAGTAACTAATACCAACATGATAAAAAAGACCAAATGACCAGCAGGATGTTGGATCAGCCAAGAGAATGAAGTAAACAAAAAAGACGAAAGGGAACACCAAATATACATGAATCTAAATGGATTTTCTTACTCTGCTGGTTAAATATGCCTTTTGTCACGGCAATTTTATTGTTTTTATCTTTGATTTCTGTAATAATTGTATTTTTAGTCATTATAATTATATTATTTATTGTTTTTGTTCTTTAATGTTTTATTTTAATCCTTAGAAAATTTGTTTATATTGAAATTTACATTTATAGTATTTATTTAAATTTATATATAAGGCTAAGAAGGCCGAAGAAGGTAACAATCTACCAAATCACTTGTATGGTAGAGTGTTATTCTCGGTTTGACCTCATGCGATCAAAATTTAAGATTCATCTAAAGACTTTCTGCATCTTACGCCTAAAGATCAACAAGTTGTTGTAACCAATCTACTATATAAAGAAGAGGGAGGCGTGTCATTTTTCAACTACACTTCAAATTTAAACTTTATTTACTCATCTTACTCAGATAATAACTTGATTGTTGGAGTGCTAACCTTGCAAGTTAGTCACTCTCCTATTGTAATGAAAGCTTAAGTCCATCGTTGCAACTCGTAACCTCTGATCTCCGATTAATTTTGGATTCTTAGCAGAGCACTGGCGTCGTATGTGGGAAGCAACATTTGATTCATGTGTTTTCCACGTTTGAATATTTATTTCTCAATTCATCGAGCCAAAACTTCTTCAACCTAGCAATTCGAATTTCCTGAAATTGAGCACTATATTTCTGGTCTCGATTTATTTCGATCGTAAATCAACTTTGATTATTAGTTTCTCAGACCACTCATTTCTAAATCTTCAAACAATGGCAAATTCTACAGTCACTCGAACCACTACTCTGTGTGGGGCAGTCGCTGCTACTTAAGTCATAAGAGATCATCGCCTCCTCCTCAAAGCGGTGTTGATCAAGTCATCGTGAATACTTCACCATATCTAGATTTCATTCGACATTTCCCGTTTGTAATATTTGCTCCCCATTTCCTGTAAAGCGAACTGACACTAAAGCCTTTAACACCGCTGACGGTATCAAGACCAGAGATGTTGCATGGATTCTAGTTATTACAAGTTAGCCTCGACGTGTAAGGCGCAAACGAACTGTTCAACATCGTGTATAACATGGTTCGACAACAAAACTCGCAAGCAGTGGAAGAAAATTTATTTCGTCTTGAAAACAGCCTAAACGTTACAAATTCAAGAGGTAACACGTTGTAGGAAGCATCCTCATAAAGGAGTCGTACAATCATCCATAAATCAGCCACATCTCGTTGGGATGTGACTTCGAGATCTTCGAGTCATTAAAGGAGCAAGAGGCGTGAGACTCCTCCCCATTGCCCAAAAGGAGGACGAGGTAATCATCTTCCCGCTAAAGAACAAGTGGAAAAACCTCTTGTCAAGAACTAGTAGAAACATCCTTTATGTGTTTATATTATCGACAATCAAATGCCAAAATCGCTGGAAAAAAACTCTGGAGCTGAAGGAGTATGACAGAAAGCGAGATTTCAACAAACATGTGCAACATTTTGGTGGTCACTTGAATTATTATCACGTCGATAAGGGGAAATTTGAGAACTCTTTTGTACTAACACTAATAGGATCACTTGGCTCAATTTTAAAGTTTTTCCTGACGGGAACATCGATTTGTTGACCGGTCTATATGAGAACTTCAGCGCTCTTTTCACGGTTCGAAAGAGGCAATCAGTGACAATAATTTTCATTAACGGGATCATGCAGGGGAAGAAGGAGAGTTTGCGTACATACATCGAGCATTTCACAAAAGTGGTTGTGGAAGTGAGAGGCTCAAGCGAGAGCCTCAAGTGTTGGGTTTTTTAGAATAGATTAAAGTAGAAAATATCCTCCAGGGAAAAGTTAGGGTGTAAGGAATCCCATAATCTGAAGAAGCTACTGAGCAGGGTACAACCCTTCATTAATATTAAAAAGGAACTTATCGTTTAGGGAGATAGCCAGGTAGGAATAGATGTAGAGTCTAATTAACCATCTGGGAAGGAATCCAACCGGCAAATGAAAGAGTGCACTTGATATGTCAAGTATACTCCATTTAATACTTACCTTGAAAAATATACCAAGAATGTGCTCTCATTAAATTTCAGAAAGGCGAGATCAAAAACCCCTGTCAAGTTAGAGAATCTTCTAGAATTGACAAAACAAATACAAGAGCCACAACCACACCACCAACAATTGCACTCAAATAGAGTATGGAACCAAAGGTTTGATAAAGATATGTCTCTTATCTGGTTATACCAAAATAATAAGAGAGATAAAAAAAAGTGGTTGAAGAGCAAGTCTTTGTCCAAGTCGGTTGATGTCGTGACTAACTGTGAAAAGACGTTTACTGAAGAAAAAAGGGAGAATAAGATAAAGCTTCAGCACATTGAGACCATTATTGTGGGTGTTCCATAGGAAAACTCCCTATCAAATGGGACGATGAAAAGGAAGATTTGATCGGAAAAATAGTAAGTGTACTATTTTGCCAATGTAGTAATAAGAGGGAATTTCCTCGAATATATATCTCGAGGACTGCTTAGGAATATAAGTTTTGATTTCAATTAAATTAAATAAAAAGTACTTAGGGGTTGAGGATTGTTTTGTGAAATTATAAAACAATTGCATAAAAATAAAGAAAATATATGAGTGTTTTAGAAAATATATGAGTAGATTATGCTAGAGATGGTGTGTGATATGACTCAGTAACAACTTTGAATTACACTGCAACAACTTATGGTAACTAACTAATTACCGATTCTTTAGAATGTTTGCCCCTAAGTCCTTAGTAAGAAAATCTTTAATCATTCACCCTAATTCCCATGTCCATAGAGAACTACAGATGAAATTAAGCAATCAATTATCAAGAATATTCCGGTTCTTATAGGGGAACTCTAGTCCTAGGTGATATCTACTACAGAATGATCCAAAGAAAAACATTAACAATGACGGTCCAGCCTAATCGTTATTCGAAAATCAAACCCAGTTTGTCCGACATGGCAAGCATTAAGAATAGATAGAGATCAAATCAGTTGCGAAAAACAAAGGAATTGTTATTGCAATACTAATATCAAAGTCATTATAGATTCAAATCAGGGACACCTCCTAGCGTTGGGGGGTTTAGCTACTCATAATATTCGAAAAAAATACAAAGTAAAAACTAGACATCACAAGATAATAGGATTTTTTGATCTTCAATTGCTTTCGCTCATGAAAACCTTCAGTTCCCCAATCACCTTGATCTCTCCAATCTTGATCATGTAATTCTTCTCCAGTCAAAAATACTCCCAGGTCTAACACAAAAGTAGGGAAATTCCCAAAATACCCTCATGGGTCACATAAATAAAAAATCTAAGAAATTTAGAAGATTAAGCGCTTTAACCAACACGGGCCGTGTCAGCTGACACGGGCGGGCATGTTGGCCCCCTGAATATCTAAAATAAAACTTCTTTGTTCTAGGAATGATGACACGGGTCGTGTCATCCCCCTGGATTCTCCCTTTCTTGCGTCTTTTCTTGGTCAGGCATATCCTATTGACACGACCCGTGTCAGGCAACATGGGTGACCGTGTCAGGCCTTCTGTAACTTGCCAATTTTGCTCCCGAAAATGTTGTAATGTCCACTTTTTTGCTATGATTCTTCCTGATTGCTTACCTGAACCTAAAAACAATGGAAATACCAAACCAACGTATAAAATGTGATAAAATAAAATAAAATGCAACTAAACATATAAGACGATTAACTAAAACTATCGGTAAAATAACGCATAAAAAACACTGATCAAACACCCCCAAACTTAAATTGTTGCTTGACCTCAAGCAACAAGCTTGGATAACCATTTTTTAGATAAAATAATACATATCAAATGAAATACTTGTGAAGGTAAGGTGTGTTGATACTCATACGCGAGCCTTTGTTCCGATCGGCTAAAACTAGTTCTCTTGGTAATTGTTTGTTAACAAAGGTATTACACAAACACATACTGCGATAAAACCACATACCTAAATATCCCTTTCAGTCACCTCTCCAACTATGCTTTGGGCTTAAGTTTTTTCTTAGATTTTCTACCCCTTTCATTCGGATAATCAGATT